TATTTATCACTTGGTGTTATATTTCCATGATTACTTTCTTAGTTTTGTGTTTATCTTTTGTGTAAGTTCTTGGAAAAGCCATACTGGGCCATGTGATATTTGTCCTGGAGGCCTTCCCTTCATTTGTCAGTTGCTAGGATCTGAACTTGATGATATATAGGATTTAATTCAGCCCATGTACTTTTGCGACCACTTATTGTTGATTCATCCAGTATTGAATTTAACGAGTCTTCTGATTTTCTTTTGTAAGACTTCCACAGTGCATTGAGTTACGATCTTTAAAATTTTCTGTATAATTAATACTTGATATAACATTCAGTGTGTACCAGTAATCCATTTTCTTTGTAAAAGGAGGGAAAATATTGTTGAAGGGTAGGAATTTTGTAATAAGTATTTATGCTAGGTGTACATTTTTTTTTTTTTTAACTTCATATATATCATATACAGATAGTCCCCTACTTAAGAACATTCTACTTATGAACATTCCATACATACAATTTTTTTTTTAAGTACTAAAGTCCAAAAAATTGTTTGAAAGATGCTAGCAAACTTCAAATTTCCCGGGCAAGAATATAGTTCAAGAGTCTGGTACTGTATAAGGTATGTCGTACTTATTGGGATTTATTTCCAGATATTCTTAATGTAAACAAAACTTTAAAACAATGGGAAAAAAGGTAATGGAGACCCGACTTTCGACATACAAACAAATCAACTTACAAACAGCCTCTTGGTCCCCATTATGTTCTTAAGTTGGGGACTAACTGTATATAAAGAGTGAACAGAAAACAAAATTCAAGATGAGAATTCATTGAAATTTTGTCATATCTTTTTTCATAATCCTTGATTTTTTTTTTGTATAAACAAATGAATAACCTTTCTATTGCATTTATATAACATTTTTACTTCACTAAGCCAATGCCTAATATCCACACAAAGATTGATTTTTTTCCTGGTAATCAGTTAAGGACAGACTGATCTTAAATTGTTGTTTCAAAATTGATACACTCTTTATTAACTTTATCAATTTGGGTTTCAGAGCATATTACTCTAATACTGGCCTTGAGTACTCAATGGGACGGGTTCCAATAGGTGGAACGGATTTCAGCACTCGTCCATATACTTATGATGACCTAAAACCTGGAGAAACAGACCCCTCTTTGGCAAAGTTTGCATTAGCTCCAGAGGACCTGAACTATAAGGTTTGTTAGATTTATAATTGTAATGTAATTGCTTAAAAGCTTGTATATATGCTTGTCTGTCTTTGTTTTACTCATTAGTCCAAGAGTCACTATGGACTTTGTCACTAAGAAGTAAATGAGTATTCTTGCCAAATTGAACCTGTTTACTCTTTTCCTTGATTTTTTTTTTTAATATTTATATATTGCTTTAGTATTTTGATACAATAATAATCATAATGTCAGTAATAATGGTAACAGTATCAATATTAATAGCATTAGAAAAAAAATCAAGGAATAAGGAAATTAGGTGAGGTTATGTAGCACTTGTGGAACCATCTTTGCAATAAAATGTGCAGTAGACAGTAAATGTATCCACAAAGGGTTAGTTTATTTATAAAACTCAAGAAAGAATAAGGATATTTAGATGCTGATGACTGTGTTTGGTTTTGCACAAATTTGTTGTCTCTTCTTAAAAAAGAGAGAAAGAAGAAAAGAGAAAATGATAGAGAAAAGCAAGTACAAGTGAATGCTTTTTGAGATTCTGTAATGAAATACCATGACTGGCTTGCTCAGTTTGAATGTTAAAATTTTGGCCAAGCACTTCATTATAGCATTTATTTCCCTCTTGCAGATACCACTAATTCAAAGGGCGGCAAAGATCTCCAAAAAGCCAATCAAACTGTTTGGCTCTGCCTGGGGGGCTCCGGCGTGGATGAAGAACAATGGCAAGATTTGGGGTAAAGGGAAGCTGAATACCAGTGCATATACAACATGGGCTAATTACCATGTCAAGTAAGATTTATTGGCTGAAATTTTTGATTTTTTAACTCATTATTATGATTATAGATATTGCTTTTTTAAACCAGTTTGCTCCAGATGGTTTAAAAGATGTGCGTTGCTTGTGTATAAGGCATTTGCCTGCAAGTGGTAACTTTGAATATGTCGACCTGAGAGTCTTTTATCAAATACAGTTTCTTCCTCTCTTTCACATGCACGCATGCATGCTTGCACACACGCACGCAAGCTCGCACACAAAGTTGACAGGAAAGATTCAATGAAGCCTCAAGCTCATTTTATGGTAAATGGTGAGGTAAAGGATAGGGGGACATGAAGGACAAAGGTATGATGACCAAATAAAATGGAATTATGATGCCAATGTTGGCGTCACAGTATGTTCCACTTGTGCTTCATGATGCTGAAACTGTCATCATCGTATAGAATGGTTTAGTGTTCATCATAATGGGGAAAAAAAAAAAAAATCTTTCTGAAAATCAGGGAAAAGATATTTTTATAAGACAAAACATGTTTTAAAATTTGACTATGTCAAAAGGTTAGGATTCCAAAAATCTGGCACCTACACCTGTGTAGAAGTAAGTTGATCTATTACACAGCTCAGTCACCTTCAACTTACAAACCTTTTAGATTTGTCTTTCTTAGAGTTAGTGAAGTGCCTGGTTAAAGGCACACACTTGTACCTTTTCTGTTACTTTTTTTATTTCCGCACAAATTTAAGGCTTTTCGCATGAATCGCATATATATGGAAAGCCTCCTAGATGAAACCCATTTTGACCATTTCTGTCTGACTACTATTCATCTTGATCTTGTACAATGGAGGATCTGTACAACTTAAATGTGTTTGTATTAATAAATTAGATAGATTTAGTTAATGTTAACATAAGTTAATACTCTAGAATATTTCTATATACAATATTTTGTTAAAATAATGTGATATTTTTGAGAAAGGTAGTGTGATTCCTGGGGCCTTCCTCGGATGGTGCCATGTTTGTTTACAGGAGCACTATGTTTGTTGCCTTGGTAGTGTGATAGCATCAGTCGATTTGCATAAGGAAAGTTTATCAATATCATAAATATGGCTGGATGATGCAGGGTAGTGGAATAGTACCTTGTGAAAGAGATGGGAATGCAGAAGTATGCTGAGAAACACAGGTTCATTGACAACACACAGTCATAGTAGGTGTGCCTGCATAGCAGTTTCACTCAGAAGTACTGTCAGTTTTTAAACTTATTCTATATTAAGAAATTTACTGATTATTTATCCTCTTGGAAAATGGCTTCCAAACACCAACATTACTTCTATTGGTACATGTTCCAAAAAATATGATGTTTTGCAATGTCATTTACTTGTTCTAAATATCATTTGCAGATTTCTGGAGAGTTATGCAAAACACAACATCAGTTTTTGGGGCTTGACTACTCAGAACGAACCAACTGATGGCCTTGTCAAGGATTTTCAGTTCAATGCTATTGGTTGGACCCCACAGGAACAGGTGCATATATGTAGGACTAATGCCTTGTATTATATGTTATGAACAGCTTTCATTCAAATGTAGAAAAGGTATGAATGAATATTGAATATCTTTACAATGCAAGAAATGAGTAATTGTCAGAAAAATATGTGTTTGTGATGAAGATATATTCAAAACTGATCACATACATCTCTTGCACTTTGAAGATATTCATTTTTTTTCATACTTTTTTCCACTAAACAATATATGAATACTAGTTTATCCCTTTGTTAGTTGTGGGGGTAAAGGAATCAGATACATTTTTTCCTTTGATCATATGATAATATACGGGAATTCAAGAGTTTCTAAGAGGTATTTGCATCTGAACTTAGTTTACTAACGTAAGATAAAGTTTGTGTATAAATCATACACAACATATATATTATATAAAGCAATGTAAGAAGAATTCAATTAAATGATGAAGCTCCTACATTATATCTTTTGTGTAACAGGCAGAATGGATAGGAAAACATCTTGGTCCTACCCTGAAGAACCACAGTTTATCCTCTGTCAAGATCATGATAATGGATGACAACCGACTGCTCTTACCCAAGTGGGTAGAAGATGTGAGTGAGGATGTCCATTTTATTGAATTTTACTAATTTGGTTATATTGTGAGCTCTGGTTCACCGGAAGATGATATTGTTGAATATTGATTTTTGTATGTTGCATATAAAAGAATGTAATATAGAATTGGGAAGAAAGAGTATTGTTTCAGGTAATGGCAGATAAAGAGGCACAGTCCTACGTCTCTGGTGTTGGCATTCATTGGTACTTGGATTTCGTAACTCCAGCCGTGGCCCTTGATCTCACACATGAACGATTCCCTGACTTGTTTTTGCTCTATACTGAGGCTTGTACAGGTAATGGGTTGGAATCTGTGGACATGTTTTTTCTTTACTGATTATTGTTTTGAATTTTAACTATTCATTTTTTAGTATTGATGAGTGACCGTATATATACACACACAATTTTTTTGTTGAGTAAATATGAAATCAGTTTGAAATCTGGTTTGTTTTCACTTTGACTTGTGTACCACAGAGTACATATGAAATGTTAGATTTTAGATTTCACCAGATTAATAAGTAAATCAGTATCTTTATCAGATAAAAACTCACCACTTTGTATTAAAAAAAAATGTCATAGAGCAGTTCTAAAAGAAGTGGAAGCATTATTCAATTAATTCACTAAGTTGAAATCACTAGGCAGAATTTATAGTGCAACAGATATGCAAATAATTAAGATATGGAAATAATTCTGAGAGAAGAGAATTTCATTATAGAAATCTACTTAAGAATGAGCATCACTTAAATCCCTCACTCGAAAAATTAGCCATAAAAGCTCTGAACTTTGCAGGTCAGTGGCCATGGCAACCACTTAAAGTTGTCTTAGGGTCGTGGGTGCGGGCAGAAGACTATGCATCTGACATCATTGAGGTATGTTCATGATAATAAATTTTAAAGTCTGGTTGAAAAAGTATTGAGGTGTGTATGTTTTTTTTTTTCTTTGTCATGAATTTTTACAGGTTAATTGGAATAAGACACCCCCTTCCATTTTAGATAGTGGGTTAATAGAGAAAATTTAATGTTGTATTTACCTGACTTGTCAAGTCTGTCATTAATAAATGACCTTCTCCAATGACAACAGAACCTCAAACATTGGGTATCAGGCTGGACTGATTGGAACCTGGCGCTGGATGTCAAGGGAGGACCTAACTGGGCAAAAAATAATGTTGACTCACCCATTATTGTCAATGCTGTAAGTTCTATTTTCATTCACTTTTTTATTGTGTAGAAGATTTTAATGATTTATTGTATATGGTTATGATCCAATATACATAGATTTTTGATATTTAGATAGATTGAATATTTTCACCCTATTCATACTTATTTTATATTCTTTTCATGCATCAGCCACGCAAGGAATTCTACAAGCAACCAATGTATTATGCACTGGCCCATTTCACAAAGGCTTTGCCAGAAGGAAGCCGTCGAATCGATCTCGGTGCCACAATGCTCTCTGACTCTGTGTCTCTTCCTGTGTATAGTGTAGCCTTTGCTCAGCCAGACAACACCATAGTGCTTTTCGTTGTTAATCGGTAAGTGATATGAGATGATTGTGTTTAGGGGACAAGATGGTGTAGTTTTGAGTTTTGGTTTTGTATTGTGGTGTACTGATCCACTAAGAGTATGAGGATATTATTTGGGCAGATAGAAATGAATAACATCACAAGCACTAGATGTAAATGATGTGTTTCTCAGGTACATGACTTACATTGATCCCATTCATAACTTTTTTTTGTATGTTTTACAATGAACTTGGTTTGTATTTGTGCAACTTTATGCTATTCTAGTTTATAGTAGGTAAGTAAGTGGTTGTCACAGCTAGAAAGTTTGCAACATTTAGACTCGTGTTGCCTTGAAAGACAGGAGAAGTCATTGCCATGGTTCAAGTGATAGCAAACTGAACCACAGATAATTAGAGAATGCATTCAGTCAGGCAAGGGTGCTACTACCAAACAACCTCTCAATAATGAATAGAGTGATCCCTGAGTCCTGCAGTGTAATGATAGGTTGTGGAATACTACTAATAATAATTATAATAATAAAGGATTTTCAGACTATATGTATACTGGCTTAAAAAGATAACTTTAGTTTAGTTTAGCTTACAAATATGAAAAAAGTAAATAGATAGGTTAGATTTAGTAGTTTTCTTATTATAGTTATGCTTTATTTCATATAGTTTTATAAGATTTTTTTCAGTCCCATGCATTTGGACATTTTTTGTTATGTGACATTTAAATCTATCTCACTTTTTTCAGATATCACAGTCAGGTCCAAATGAGGATTAAAGACAACATGCTGGGGCAGTTTGACATGTATGTGGATGCACATACTATCATGACAATTGCTTGGAACAAATAGCTGTTTGTGGCATTTAAGACATGTTTATGTATTTTTCCACAGTATTAATGGGGTCTTAAGGTAATATCAAAATAAGCTATCATCTTACTGGTGCTGAAAATTAAGCATAGATAAGTGATTAACCTGTTGGATCGTGGCATGCATGTGGCCCAAAATCCAGGTATTAGGCTTACTTGAGTGGCGACTTTCCTAGGCTTTTGGCTTGTTGACTCATGCTCAGTATTATGACTCCTTGCCTCCACTTAGCAATGGTATTAGCCCATTTTCTGAGATCTATATTTGTCATTTGTTATGCTGTATCATGATGATAATAGACTGTTTTATTTTAAGTTAGCAGACACCATATTATCTATCCAGGTTGTTTACACTGTGCAATAACAACAACAATAAGTAGCATTGTGTTATTTTCTATATATTAGTATTCTTAAATTTTCTGTAATACATCCTACACTACTGTAATCTTAGGCGGGAATAGGTTCCTGCATGTGGATGGACATAATGTCCTTTCAGGACATATTTGATGGCTAGTGAACGTCATCCTCATGCACTTATGCAAATCTTGCAGGAGCTCGCAAGCAAGCCCCATTCCAAAGACCCACTGACTAAATTTCAGTTATTTTGTGTGCTCATGATGAGGCTTCCCCATCCCATGACATATGGCAACAAATTACTGTGATTAAATGTTTCTGTCAGCAGCCCCTTGGCCAATTTTTTTCCATGACAAGACATACCGGTCACATGTCCCTTGCCCAAATTTTTTCTTGACATCACCTAGATCCAACAGGTTAAGTGACAAGTTTTTGTTGTGAGGTGTAAAAGAGTTAGCTTTTAATTTAGGGGTTATTGTCTGACGTGTAATCAGTCTTTCATGTGGAAGAAAGGAAAGGTACCTTCCCTTTCTTCACATTATCCTGTGATAGGAAGATTAGCAACATTCCTGTTTGTTCGTTTTTTTTCTCCTTCAGCTTTAGATTTTCCTTTTTATCCCTTTTCTTCATCATCATCCCTTTTCTTCCTCATCATCCCTTCTCTTCTTCTTCTTCTTCTTCTTCTTCTTCTTCTTCTTCTTCTTCTCCTTCTTCTCCTTCTTCTCCTTCTTCTCCTTCTTCTCCTTCTTCTCCTTCTTCTCCTTCTCCTCCTTCTCCTCCTTCTCCTCCTCCTTCTTCTTCTTCTTCTTCTTCTTCTTCTTCTTCTTCTTCTTCTTCTTCTTCTTCTTCTTCTTCTTCTCCTCCTCCTCCTCCTCCTCCTCCTCCTCCTCCTCCTCCTCCTCCTCCTCCATCTTTTCCTCCATCTTTTCCTCTTCTTCTTCTTCTTCTTCTTCTTCTTCTTCTTCTTCTTCTTCTTCTTCTTCTTCTCCTCCTCCTCCTCCTCCTCCTCCTCCTCCTCCTCCTCCTCCTCCTATTCCTCCTCCTATTCCTCCTCCTATTCCTCCTCCTCCTCTCCTCCTCCTCCTTTTCCTCCTCCTCCTTTTCCTCCTCCTCCTTTTCCTCCTCCTCCTCCTCCTCCTCCTCCTCCTCCTCCTTTTTGCTCCTCCTCCTCTTCCTCCTTTTTGCTCCTCCTCCTCCTCCTCCTTTTTGCTCCTCCTCCTCCTCCTCCTCCTCCTCCTCCTCCTCCTCCTCCTCCTCCTCCTCCTCCTCCTCCTCCTCCTCCTCCTCCTCCTCCTCCTCCTCCTCTAATCCTCCATTGCCATCCATGACAGTTTTACATTACTTATAATACACATTGGCTGTAATTATATTTATTGAAAGATAAACTTGAACACAGGATAATTTTTTTCCTACTGTTGTAAACTTTCAGTGTTCTTTAGTATTTAGCTAATTTTCTTTACTGTTAAAAGGTCAACTATATACAAATATTTTAATGTTAAGAGTACTCTCTATGGTCACTTGTATACTCTGTAGTTATATTCTTTAATGTCCCACTGCAGCAGTTATATTCTTGGGAGTTTTTGATGTAAACATACGTGCTATACCCACTGTGAGTTACTTGTTTGATTGTTTTTACACATAGATGGCTATATCTGTACTAAGTCACCAATGAGCCAATTACTGTCTGTCTCGCCTGTTTACCCTTTTCTTTGATTTACAAAAATATTTTATGTTATTTTATATTGCTGTTACTAATGTTTATAACATTATAGTAATTATAATGTTTATGATAAAAATAACGCCATTGATATTCATAGCACTAATAAAAAATATGTTTTTCCCGCCAATTCAAATCAAATAAGGTCACAAGGTCTACTAATTGACTCCTTTGGGGCTAAGCACTAGCAGAGCCATCTATGTGCAGAGACATTTCACAAAAAATATAGAAAGTGAGCACAGCATTAATACATGTACCTGCCAGTATGACACCAAGGAAGCCTATCACACTTACCTTACAGTGTCCCACCATGCTAGGCCATAATGCTTTTTAGATACAGAAGCAAGTGTCTTTGTTTATAATTAAGTGTAAACCAAATATACATTTGATAACACTGATTTAGTGTTATAGATTATATTTTTTGTGCTGTGGTATGTAATTTGGAATAAAAAAAATGTATGCGTATATGTGTTTACCATACCAACTGCAAGCAGTGTAACACTACTGGATGGGTATGTTTGGCAACACTATTTAGATAGGCAGGTTACTAGGAATTTAGTATCAAAATGGAGTTACTTGGTATTTTGCTAACAGCAACAACAGAGAAAAGGAGAGAGGAGGGAAGAGAAGAGAAGAGAAGAAATGAAATGAAATTAGATTAGATTAAATTAAATTAAATGAGAGGAGAGGAGAGGAGAAGAGAAGGATACCACAGGTAGCTGTTGTTAAATAATTTGCCTCAGAATGAAAAGTTTACCCCATTACTCATCACATAGTTATATTTTTTGGTATAAATTTTGTACAGTTAAAGAGTATACAGTTTGTGTACCTCTCTTAATTAAATAGCCAAGATTCTGTGCACATACAGTATTATTACTAGTAATGATTTTACTGCATTAAAAGCATTATACATTTCAGTTTTTACTTTCAATAAAATAAATGTAAATAATATTGCAGTACTAATGCAACTGGTTGTTGCTTAAATGTTAAAGCATACAATCTAATATGATGTCTTTCAGACATATGTATTTTAGGCTATATACATGTATTGTACCATTATATGCCTGGCAGCAATATTTCTTTGTATATAAAATCAATGAGATACTTGTGTTGCATGTTGATAGCTGTTGCATATGCTGAGTGTGATTTCTGAGCCTTTTCTCAAACTTTATTGGAGCACAGATGTAATTTTTATTGAAAAAGTAGAGAAACATAAAAGAATGAGATATAAGCACCTGAAATATTTGTGAGAAATAAGTAGTTTTTGAATACTGAAGATTTAAAAAATTGCAAATGATAATGAGAATTATTGTTATTTTTTTTTTGTCATAAAAGCAAAAGCACATGTACAGTGTATCATTATGCATATGAATATAAGAATACTTGCTCGCTCTCCCTTTCTCTCTCTTTCTCTCTCGCTCTTCTTTTCTCTCTCTGTCTCACTCTCCCTTTCTCTCTCTCGCTTTCCCTTTCTTTCTCTCTCTCACTCTGCCTTTCACTCTCTCTT